TATTCAGACATGAGCTTTTTCTGTGGATTCTGCTTTGACCCCAGAGCAATTAAACCCAAAAAAAGTAATGTAAGGTGTTTGGTTCCACAATAAATGTCCAGATTTTTTATTTGTATGTATTTTTTTATTTTATTTATTTATTTATTTTAACCTGGGCTCATGTCTGTGTATTTATCTTTTCAAGGCAGGGAACTATGCTGTTTGAGATGAGGGAACATCCAGCATAGGATTAACAAAATACCTTTTAGTTCAGTTTATAAAAGTTGGCTATATGAGGGCACCTGTTTTCCATCGTCTGGTAGTTTAACTGTTGGCAAAATGTTGCCTGTGGGCAAGTTGATTTTAGGAATAGCATGGCATAGACATAAAATGCCATTTGATTTACTGCAATTTGCCTTGGAGTAATTTATTGTTGATCCTGGTGTTAGATGCTGCCTGAGTCAACCTGTTTGTTTGGGTTGTAAATGTTATTAGTTATTATTATAGACAAATTGTTAATGTTGAAAATTCAAATTTGTACTGATTTGTACAGAATACAATAGTATTGATTGACATACTAGGGGTTAAATATGATGTCCTCACCTTTATAAAAACAAAATAATTGGTTGGCATTTAATGCCAATAGTTGTTTTGCTTTACTGTTCTACTTCATATTTTTCATGAGTTGAAGATATACAAACTGAAATGAAGACCTGCTTTATTCTTGAGTTGGGTGTATCCAGACTGGTCCCCCAGTCAGCTTACCTTTGGTCTATATTTTAGTCCGATAGGGAAGGCATATTATAAAAAATGTTCAGTCATATTTAGCATTTGCTCTGTGTATTCCAGCTTTTGGATTGGATCAGGAGATACCGGACTACGATATGGACTCTGATGACGAACAGTGGTTGAACAAGCAGGCCAAAAAGATGGAAATCAATCCTCTCCAGTTTGAGGAAATGATGGACAGGCTAGAGAAAGGGAGTGGACAACAGGTAACAGATTACACATTGTACCCTTTTGCATGGAATTATATTAAAGGGATAATAACTCTTCGTATGAGATCTATATTTCACAATAAAAACATTGTGAATAACTCATAGAAATATAATATATTCTGTTTTACCACAAAAACAGCAGTTATAGCTATTATTCTGATATCTGAGCTTGTCTTTAGACCACGTGACCTCCACTGATGGCTATACTCTGTTAAAATCTCTTAAGAGATTTTAACAAAAAACCAAACTTTTTAGAAAAAAACCAGGGACTAACTTTGAATGTAAAAATAGATTCATTAACCATTGGTAAGCATGGGAAAATTGTTGTTTACTCCAGGAAAATTCTTTTTTTGGCCGAAACGAAGAGTTATTATCCCTTTAAAGAACTGCTTGCCATATTAATCAATATTTTTCCTCACTTTCCATCTGTGCAGTAATGATGAAGTTGAAGATAGCCTGAACCTTGTGTGTATGTTACGTTCAGGTTAGCAGTTGCCATTAATTTAAGTAAATCCTAGTTTTGTATTGGGCATTAAGAGGATATAAATATGCATCACTGCCAGTCAGAGGCAGTCTTTTTCTGTAGAATCAACGCTATCGCTTGTTTGAATCTCAATGTACTAATGGAGATTGAAATTGGAGTTATGTGTACCAAATAACCTTCTTATATAACTGTTTCACATGAAAAATGCATTATTATGTCGCTTGGATGATAATTGTGGTTTGCTGCCTATAAAGGTTAGGCCTTCTGAAAAGAAGAAAAAAAGTTATTATGCTTGATAGTGCACAAAGATGTTATTGTCCCTTCAATAGATATTAAATATTATATTAGATATTAAAGGGACATTAATATCTGCAATATGTATATTAATGTTGTCAACTATTTTCTGATGAAAGAAATAGAATTTGAAAGCCACAGGAGCATTAAAGTTAATGAGCATGCAAAGGAAAGACAGTCGATCTTAACCAATTCATTTCCTAACATTTGATCAGATATTTAGCTATTAAATTAGAATTATTTAGTTTTGAGTTATAAAGTTTGCTCTTCGCTGTGTTTTTCACAGCACAGTCACTCTGGGAAAGAGAACAGGGGGAAAAAAAGATTAAGAATGAGATCATTTTGGCAGCTTCATGAAGAATTATAAATCCTTTTTCCAGGTTGTCACTCTCCAGGAGGCCAAACTTCTCCTAAAAGAAGATGATGATCTCATTATTGCTGTGTATGACTACTGGCTCAACAAAAGGTTAAAAACTGTGAGTACTTGTTTTCTTTTAAAAAATGCATTCATTTGAATCCACAGTTAAACCAATTGATAACCTCATATCACTCTGTTTGGCAGATCTCAAAGACCCCCATTACAAAAAAAAAAAAAAAAATGAAAGATGCTGGTGCTTGAAATTTTAAAAATTCTCCCCACTATATGTTTGAACTGGGTCATATTTTTTGTGCATCTTTTTTTTTCTGCCGACATTCCAATAGCAGTTCAGTCATATATCTATTTATGGTTATGCATGTTTGTATATTTTTCAGGCACATGCTCTCATTCCACAAGTGAAGACAGAAAAACGTGATGGCTCTACAACTAACAATCCCTATGTGGCCTTCAGGCGACGGACAGAAAAGATGCAGACAAGGAAGGTTTGTGGTACTCTGCTATATATGTCATATCATGCATGTTTAAGGAACTCTGCTAAATATGTGTATTATATTTTTTTCGTGTGTGATATAAAATGTATTTTACTTCAGCAAAATATGTGAATTTGATATATATGTGTGATTATGGAATATTGTTTATATGAGTTGAACAGAACTGCTTCTTACCTGAAATGGATGTCTTACCAGCACTAATGTATTTTGTTTACAGAATCGTAAAAATGATGAAGTATCTTATGAGAAAATGCTCAAACTACGACGAGACATCAGTAAAGCTGTGTAAGTCTTTTCTAAATTCTGTCCATTTTATGAGAAGATTTCAAAGCTTTTAAGATAACTTTGTGAAAATTGTCAACCCTGGAATATTAAAGATGTGTTTGCAGGCTGTATCCATTGCAACTAAATTTGGGTTTGGGCAAATGTCTTTCGTTTTATATCTTTAAATTGCCTTAAAACATTAGATTTTAGTTTCAATCTGATCTGAAATGGATTGTCATGTTCTTGGTGGCTGGCCAACTGAGAACCTATACAAAATATAAATATTAATTCATAAAATGTCTTTGTAGGACAATACTAGAAATGATCAAACGAAGAGAGAAAGCCAAGAAAGAACTCCTCAAGCTCACAATAGAGATTGTGGAGAAGAGATACCAAGCCACAGACTTTGATGGCAAACTTCTAGCAGAGGCCAATGCTGAGAGGCTCAAATTTCCCTCATTTTTGCCAATACAGACCCAATACAATAACTGGAAGGTAAATGAAATTTAAATTTGAGAAACTGCTCTGCGTGGCTGCTATGGATTCTGGGGGTGGGGCATTCAAACCACTGTGAATAAAAATTTGGATTTGAGAGTTGAGATAAGTTTCCATGAAAAAGGCATCAGTGACCTCATTGCTGACCCTTGTATAAATTTTAATGGCTGTCCATTTGTGGCAATTATTTTCCAAATAACATTTATTTTTACAATGCAAAATCCTATTTCACAATTAACATTTGAAAATAACTATTTATTATTCAACCTCATTGCATCTATAAAATTTGAATATACAAATCATTTGAGATATGATTTTTTCCTTTATGAAAACAGGAAGAAGTTGGTTTTGTACGAAAAAAGCGTGAATACAAGAAGAGAAAGCACAAGCAGCAGCAGAACCAGCAGAGACAGCAGCAGGAAGCGGTCCAGCTCCCTCATTACAACGAGGTGGACATCCTGCAAACAGATTACTTTTCTTCTGAGGAGGAGCCAGTGTCACCAGTAAGCAGACATGAGCTTTTTCTGCAGAAACACAAGATTCTGCAATTTTTAATTCAATTCTGATGGTTCCCGACATTGGTCAAGATCTGCAATAAAATCTGCTTCAGAGTTTATTTTATTTTTTTTTTTAACTAAGGCTCACCCATTCAGGAAGGAGGTCTAATTGCAAAGTTTAAAAGAATAAGTCTTCAACTAAGTGCAATCCGTTTTTATGTACAGACACAGATGTGTCTGTACATTGTTTTGCAAGAGGAAATGGCCAGAAACCTGAAGCAAATATATAAGCCTTTCAGAGGAAACAATCCTTACAGAATTTGTTAAATACAAGTCTTCTGATTGTGTTAGGGCTCATTCTTATTGAAACTGTCTAAGTAGATCACTCCAACCCTGTGGGGACTCTTGATGAATACAATCAGTTTAACAAATTAACATGCCGCCTCCTGGTGTTGAGTAGAATACAGAGAAGCTGGGGATTATACCGGTAGACTGGGATCAAGGAGGCATGTTTATCTGTAAAAAAGTTAACACATTTATTTCGATAGTGTCGTTTGTTTTGATTGTTTAAAACACATCCATGTTTTCATCTTTCAGCCTCTTTCTCAGTCTGACCATGAAGATGAAAATGATCCTGATGGTCCATATGCATTTAGAAGAAAAAATAATTGTTATTATTTAGCTGTGAGTCTATTATTTCTTTTCTACACATGCTCTGTGTTAGCAGATTGAATGTTGTTCTGTAAATATGATATGGCAGTTAGCTGCTGCTAGCTGAAGCTTAAGTTCTTTCTCTGTGAACAAGAAGCAACATTTTCTTTGATTTTGAATACTGTTTAGTGTTATATTGTATTATGTGCAAATGAATTTATTATGACTTATTATAATTTATTAAAGGCACCATAGTAGATGTAAGATGCAAGGTTTTGCTTGTTTTTTTGGGGCTAAGTCTATTAATATTGTCTGCATTATTTTATGTAAACTCCACAAATATATTATAAATAATGAAGAAATGACTTACCATGGAACATTTCTTCATTTCAGCCTATCGATGATTACCTTGGCAACTGGCCATGGAGTAGTCGAGAAGAAGGGGGCTGGGGTGATAAAAAATATAGGTATAATCTCTCCTCGCTGTCCTCACCCCGACAGTGTGTGGGATATGTCCGGCGGAGGATTGGGCGAGGAGGAAGGTTAGTTTGTTTATCCTTCATCCAAAATGTGTTGGTTAATTGCTATGTTGAAACAGTGTATACTTGCAAAAATAGCCAGAATTTATTATTAAGGTTATACTTTTTATTTAGGTCACCTTTCAATCTTCTGAAAAAAAAGTGGGTGCAAATTTCTGGGTGTGCAGACTTGGAAGTTTACAAGTCTGGTTAATCATGTAAATCGTACTATAGATGGCTAAAGAAGGTTGAAATTTGTTCTATATTGAAAATGTATGTGGTAGTATCTCTCTTGATTCCACTCTCTGGTGTAACTGGGACCCATGTTGAATATTGAATCATTGTTTTAACCTTTTCCAGGGTTCTACTAGACCGAGCTTATACTCCATGGGACGATACGCTGCACGAGTTAGACATCAGCAGTTCTACCTCAGGGAACTCTCACATAGATGATTACATTCATTATATTCAGAATGAGAAAGTGTGAGTAGAAGTGTTTCAGTATAGAATTAAGTAACTGGATGCATGTTGAACGCATGAACTGTGTTGTGTAAATGTGCCTGGTGAGAGTCAAGTCTCCTAGTTAAATTACATGTACAATATTGTACTTATTCACATATGTGCTTATATCCCTATATTATAGTATATTCCAACTACTAGATTGCTCTTAACAACACATTGTTCATGAGAATAAAGTCATTGATGAGTTCAGGCTTACAGTTGGCTCTCGTTTAACTCATATTTAGTTCATGTCCTGTAGAGCAATAATTGAATAGTTTACTTCTTTGAGTTGAAATACATTATTATCTGCTGGATTGTGCCAAAACACAGTTTTCTCTGGAATTAAATGATGAATTAGTTTCTCTGTGCCCATTTATGACTGTTCTTGATTCTTCATTAATTTCATTTTTCAGGCCCCATTTCCGACCAAAAACTCCGACAGAAGAGGACTTCTACCAGTCTTCAACTGTGGATGAAACCTACACTGCCATTCCAGTCAGCACCGAGTTTAATCTAGAAAGCTTCCAGGCCCACCAGGAGCAGCTGTTACTCATGCAGAGACAGCAACAAGAACAGCTGATCAAAATGGAAACAGAAACTTTAGATAGCTCAATTAATCTAGGACATTCCTTCTGCTCACAGCCCACGTCCCGATTCACATTGGATTCTGCCACGGCGCAGTTTGCGGTGTCTGCTGTGGTAAATAATGTGCAGGTGACTGGTGCTCATGCTGCTGCGCTGACGAATGGACCCATTATGGACAGTAAGTGGTCACTGAGCACACTGTTAAGGATATATACCCACTCTGTTAGCCAATGTCAGGCAAAAAAAAAACTGATTTTATGTAAAACTGTGAATCATGTTATGGTCATGGACATTAATTTCAGAGAAAGTTTGGTTATTTTTCTAATGACATCTTTTTTGTGAAATGTGTTATTTATGGTCTCTTGATGTTCTGTACAACCTGGGCTTGTATCATAAAAATTTGAACATCAAACAGGAATTATGCATCAATACTATTGGATGATGCAAACAATTTTCTTAGAATTACTCACTTAAGATTTTATCACTAACAAGTCTGGGTAACACCAATTTTCAACGGACCTTTGTAAAAAA